AGCCGGCCGCGCTCGCCGCGCACCCCGGCTGGGCGCAGGCGGCGGCGGCGGACCCCCCAGCCTTCGGCTCCGGCAGCCCACACCCGCCGGCCGCCCAGCCACCCGGGGCCGCCGCCTTTCCCTTCGCGCACAGCCCTCCCGGCCCGGGCGGCGGCGGCGGCGCCTACCAGGGAGCGCTGCTGGCGCGCGAGCAGTATCCGGCCCCGCTCGGGCGGCCGGTGGGCGCCGCGTACCCCGCCGCGTACCCGGCCTACGTGAGCACCGAGGTGGCCCCGTCCTGGGCCTCCGGAGCCTTCGAGGGCGGCGTCCTACACAGCCTGCAGGGCCGCCCGGCCGGCCTCTCGGGACGCAGAGCCGCCTTGGGTGAGTGCGGGGCTGGGGGCGGCTCCGCTGACTGGGGTCCACACCCGGGTGCAAACCCGCACCCTGCGAAACGCACGGCTTTCCCGGGCGGCGGCCCGGCAGCGTGAGGCAGGCCGGAACCCCCAGGGCCAGGGGGGGTGTCCGCCGCAGCCTCGCTGACCAGGGATGGGAAACCCTGCGTCCCGGATTCCTTTTACACATTAGTAGGAGAGTGTATCCACTTCTACCTTTCCTTCCTCATTCCAGCATTCTGGATGGTGCCAGTTTGGAGCCTGTTAAACATGTTAAACGTTTCTAAGAAAAGTTTTGGAAGTAATTTTATAAAGGTCAAAATACCGGTTTAAGGATGCTGCCACATGCATCTCCGCTCTAGAAGGTTCACATATTCTAATTCAAGACCTGATTCTGTAGCTCCCCCATGTAAATTTGGATTATCGGATTCCAGGCCTGCAAAGCAGGGAAGGGCTCCACCGGGCTCCTGGGGCATCAGTGCAACCGACCTTTCCTCACTCTGGGGTCGAAAACCCAGGGCCACGCCTCTGTTTGCTGCCCCCCTGGTGTGCCCTCCAGCCCTCCCTCCCACCGAAAGGTCTCCCCCTCCCCTCCGGCAGCTGCCTTTTGGCCCTGGCGGCTCCTGGACGCAGGAAGCGGGTTCCCTTGGCCCTGGCGCCCAGGGAAGCCCTGTGCCTGGCGCCCACCCCGGCTGGGTGATGATTGATCCCCGCCCTGCCCCCACTCGGCCCTGCCGCCCGAGTGTCGCCGGCGCCTGGCCCGGCCTGGAGGGGCCTGGGCTCCTGTGTGTGCGCCCAAGTATCCGGTGGAGGGCGAGCTGCGCTGCCTTCCAAGGAAGGAAGGTGGTTGCGACCACAACAAAGCTGACAGTAAGGACCCTGGTCCTTGTAGGACCTCGAGATCCCACCATTTCCGATCATGCTGCTTTGCAGAGGACAAGGCCCTTGGACCCCCTGCCTCTGCCAGTGCAGCTGCTCCTGCCGCCCCAAGGGATCGAAACTTCAGGGCTAGTGCTGGACCCTGGCCCTGAGGGGCCACTGCCTGGTGTCTGCCCTGAGGTTTCTTGCATTAACCCTGCCTCCTTATAAAAATAATCCGAAGCGGTGTTTTAAATCTGCACAAACTTTGCTGTATGTTAATTAAAAATTAAATTAGATAATTATATTTAAAATAAAATAAATTTAAAGCACACACAAAAATTGCTGCATACGCGTTTGGGCTCTGGAAGAGCTGAGCCTCGTCCCAGGAGCTGCCTGTCCCCACAGTGTCGGACTTCTTGGAGGAGTTCCCCGGCGAGGGTCGGGAGTGTGTCAACTGTGGGGCCCTGTCCACACCGCTGTGGCGCCGAGACGGCACCGGCCATTACCTGTGCAATGCCTGCGGCCTCTACCACAAGATGAACGGCGTCAACCGGCCACTTGTGCGGCCGCAGAAGCGCCTGGTGAGTGTGGGGTCTTGGGGCTGCTCCTCAGACCCTGTCAGGCAGCACCAGAGTCCCGCGTGCGTGCTGGGTCAGAGCGCACCCCAACACCAGTGTGGGCCCTGCTGACTGGCAGCCATGTACAGGGACGCTCTGGGGCTGGGAGGCCCTGGCTATGGCAGGAAGAGACAAAGGACCCGCTCCCCACACTTGAGGCTGAGCTTTAGTGGGGTCAGCAGGGGGCAGGGGTGGTGGGGAGAGGGGTGGATTCACCAGATGGGTTCTGTCCCTGGACCTGGCTGGGCAGGGATGGCTGTGGACCCCCACAGCTTTCTGGGGACTCAGCCCTGTGGCTCAGAGGAGGACTTGGGTGTTAAGCTTCTTGTCTGGCCAGGCGGTGGGGGCACAAGGGGACCTGGTGGGGATGGGGCTGCAGGGGAAGGTGGGTGCTGAGTGGGTGCTGTGTTGGAGGACAGGGGAGGGGTGTTGGGTCTGCTGCCCCACTGGGGAGCAGTATCTACCCAAACCTTCAGGGGCTGGGAGCAGACCAGGTCTACGGTTGTTCGGGGCAAAACTTGTTTTCACTTTTGGTTCCTTCTGGCGTGTGGCTTGGTGGGAATGGGGGACTGGAAGTCCAACTTTTGCCCCTGGTGGGGCACAGTCCCCGAAGCTGCACTAAGGTGTAATGTTACTTTGTCCCATAAAGTCTCATAGGCAAACTTTGATGTTCGCTTAACTTTGTAAATAAGCGATAGGCCCCGCAAGTTAGCGAGGCCGCAGTGGCTCCTGGCCGAGGCCTGGGCAGGGGGACATTTCTGGAGTGCCGAGCTTCCGGTCTAACGCTGCTGATCTGAGCCCTGTCAGGGCCAGTGGGCCGGTTCTGGCCGGTTCTGGTGCATCAGGCCCTGGCAGGGGTGGATGAGGCGGGGGAGGGGC